TTTTCTTTTCTTGAGTTTTCTACAGTATGTTTAATGGTAGGAACTAATATATAACGCTATCTGATGTTAGTTTCAAAAGAATGCTGTTGCCATCGGGAACTTCTCTCATAGGCTGTATGCATTTCATCACAGTGCCTGATAACCACAGAATTTTTCTTCCTTTTCACAGTGAATAGGTATGCTTTATCCACTAAGTTTAAGCTGCCGCTTTGGGAAATGGAAAATTCTCTTGCTAAGGAAATGGTTATTTTTGGGTGGATAGGCTACAATGCTTAATAATACTGTTTTTTGGGGGGGTTTTTTGGTGCGTACCCCTAGCGGGAACCGAACTCGGGACTCTCTGGTCTGCAGGCTGACGGTCCAACCGCTGAGCCAAACCGGCCAGGGCGAATACTGCTTATAAATACACACATAATGGCAACAATCTTCTTGATTATGCTGAATTCTGCTAGTCGAGATAAAATATTAGTTAACTACTGGGGCTTTAAATTTGGTTTGTAAGTCAAATCTGGAAGTAAACTCCATTTCAAAAATTTGTAACTAAAAATGGCTCAGATCACAGGTTGAGGGGAAGCCTGCCATGCTGACTCATGTTTTTCTTTATGATTTGCACTTTGTTTTTGTTTTTTTCTTTTTTTTAAATCTTTATTGTTGAATGTATTACAGATGTTCCTCATTTTTCCCCCGTTGATCCCCTCCTCCCCACTCTCGCCCCACTCCCGCCTTTTCTCACACTGTTGTCTGTGTCCATTGGTTATGCATATAAGTCCTTTGGTTTATTTCTTCCCACCCCCCAACCCCTTTCCCTTTGAGGTTTTCAGTCTAGCAACAAATGTGTACTTCTTAATCCCTTCACCTTTTTCACCCATTCCCCCAACCCCCTCCCATCTGGCAACCAACAAAATGTTCTCTGTATCTATGAGAATGTTTCTGTTCTGCCTGTTCATTTTGTTTGTAGATTCCATTGTCGATAGATATGTATTCATTGGCATTTTGTTTGTTCATATATTTTACCTTTTTCTTTTTTTCCCAAAAAGACCCTTCAACATTTCATATAAAAACGGTTTGGTGGTGATGAACTCCTTTAACTTTTTCTTGTCTGGGAAATTCTTTATATGGCCATCGATTCTAAATGACAGCTTTGCAGGATAGAGTAATCTTGGTTGTAGGTTCTTGCTTTTCATCACTCTGAATATTTCTTGCCACTCCCTTCTAGACTACAAAGTTTCTTTTGAGAAATCAGCTGACAGTCTTATGGGAACTCCCTTGTAGGTAACTAACTGCTTTTCTCTTGCTGCTTTTTTGAGTTTCTCTCTTTGTCTGGAACCTTTTGCATTTTGATGATGATGTGTCTTGGTGTGGGCCTCTTGGGGTTCATCTTGTTTGGGACTCTCTGTGCTTCCTGGACTTGTATGTCTGTTTCCTTCCCCAAGTTAGGGAAGTTTTCTGCCATTATTGTTTCAAACAGGTTTTCGATTTCTTGTTCTCTCTCTTCTCCTTCTGGCACCTCCAAGATGCGAATGTTGGCATGCTTGAAGTTGTTCCAGAGGCTCCTTACACTATCCTCATTTTTTTGGATTCTTTTTTCTTTTTGCTGTTCTGATTGGGTGTTTTTTTGCTTCCTTATATTCCAGATCGATGGTTTGCTTCTTGGCTTTATCTACTCTACTATTGAATCTGTGTAAATTATTCTTTATTTCAGTTAGTGCCTACTTCATTTCTGACTGGTCCTTTTTTATGCTCTTGAGGCCCTCTCTAAGTTCACTGAGGTTCTCACTAAGTTCATTGAATATCCTTATAAGCAGTGTTTTGAACTCTGCATCTGTTAGGTTGCTTATCTCCATTTGCTTAGTTCTTTTCCTGGGGTTTTGTTCTGTTCTTTCATTTGGGACCTGCTTCTTTGTCTCCTCATTTTGGCCGCCTCCCTGTGTTTGTTTCTATGTATTACTTAACGAGAGGTATGGGGCTAGCTGAGACCAGATGCTGCTTGTTCGAAAGAATTTAGGAAAACCTGAAGTAGGATCCAAGACAGGTCAATCCTATGGTAAAGCAAGTGGCAACAGCTTGGGTGGGCCTGAAAGTTGGGTGGGGCGGGGCCTCAGGGAATCACCAGGGTGGGGCTACCAGTGTGAGCCAGGTTGCTGGAGTCCCGGGTATGGCGACTGTCTACCACCCCAGGGAAGGGCTCACCAAAAGAACAAAGGCCTCTGACAGTACATCTGTCCCAGAGAAAGCCCCCTCTCCAGCCCTCACTCCAATGCCAAACAGCTCAGTTTTTCGCTGTATGTCTCTGGGGCCCCTCGAGCTGCCTCCCCTCCAAGGTTAGAGGGAGAGAGTCCGATAAGTCCCTGCGCGGGCCCTTTAAGGAGCTGCCTGGGGCTCCAGCCGCCTCAGCCTCCCTGGGACCTCAGTTCCCGCTGGTTTTTCCAGCCAGAAATTATGGGGATTCTCTTCCAGGCACTGGAACCCTGAGCTGGGTGCCTGGTGTGGGATGGGGACCCCTCAGTCCTCAGGAAGGACCTTCCCAGCCGAGGTGTCCCCCTGATTTTTATCCGCCACACGTGGGTGTGGGACCAGCCCATCCGCCTCCGCCCCTCCTACCAGTCTGGATGTGGCTGCTGCTTTAATTCCGTAGTTATAGGACTGCTATTCAGCTTGATTTCAGGCGGTTCTCAATGATGGTTGTTCTGCAGTTTAGTTGTAACTGATGTGGTTGTGGGAGGATGTGATACTGTGTTTACCTACCCGCCATCCTGACTGGAAGTCATGATTTGCACTTTGACTTATCAAAGGACGCATAGCATGCCAGTGTGGAGAAGGAAGCTTGGAAGGAATGTAATAAGCTATTTGTTCCCTCAACAAACTACAATCACATCCAACAATGACCATAAAGCAGGTGAAGCCAGGCCTAACTGTGCCCTGGCGACCCTCTGAGCAGAGTGTTGATGAGTGTGAGAGCATTTGTCTCCTATGGGATCTGTCAAAACACTGAAGTCTGTTCTCTGTACTCTGTTGCCTGGCCACTAGCCCAGTTAAATGATTCATGTTGCTGAGCAAGAAGAGAAGATGAAGAGAAGAGAATGGAAATTGTTTCTGAGTCTCTGGGGAAGGTCTTAGGCACCAACACTCAATTAATGTATAAAATTAGGACCATCAATTTCAAGGATATTCAAATGTATATCAACTTCTTTCAAAATAGGAAGAATGTCAAGTAAAGGTACACCAAGGTATTATTTTTGTTTGTTTGTTTTTGTTTTTATCTAGTCAATGGGCAAAGACCATAAAAGTTTGTACATTGTGTGGCTGGCAAGGCTCTAGATAAACTAGCTGTATATTTCTGTTGGGAATGTATGTTAACCAATACCTGTTGTCAGTTCTAAGATTTGATTTCATCCTACTCACAAGCTAATAAGTGAGCCTGCTTACTCTGTCATAGATCTTGGACTAAAACAAGAGATGCTGGGAACAGAGACCAAGAACGCCGCTACTCACAGCACACGAAGCATATGCGACAGTGTCTGCACAGGTCTTCCTGGCCCAGGTCCCCTCTGGGAAGCACAGGAGGTCCAGATAGATTCTGTGGAGGCTCCCTGAGCTGGAGGAAGCTGCCCCTTTCATAGTAAGCAGTAAGAAAGCTTGCTTTTTTGGTCCTGGAAGGACACATTACCTGGGCCCTGAAGGTACTCACTGCAAACTCCACCCTGAGAAATGGTGCACGTGAAGACAGGCCCAGGGCATGCATTCTAAGCTACCAGCACGGTACATCAGTTCCTCCCACAATTGCCCAGGATTACTTTGCAATAAAAATCACACAAACACTTAACTTTCGACCTAGCAACTTCACCTCTAGGGATCTATCCTACATATTTACTTGTATGTGCACAACATGATGGCTATGAAGGGTTATTTATTCCAACACCATTTAAAATAGTAGTGAAATACTGGAAAAAGTGAAATGTCTATTGATACAGGACTGATCTTATAATAGATCCTTACAATGGAATATTACCCAGTAATAATAAAGGGTGAAGAATTTCTTTATGTGTGGGTATAGATTGCTGAGAAAAAAGATGCAGGAAAATATGCATAATTTTCCCTTTTGTGTAAAAGAGGCTAAAATGTATAAATATTTTTTGTGCCATATATACATAAAGTCTCATTTCTCTAAGGATACACAAAAAATTACTTTTAACTGTCTCATATGACACACTGATAAAATCAAGAACTTAAAAATTTCAATAAAGCCCAGTGGTGTGGCTCAGAGGTTGAGCATCAACCCATGCATCAAGAGGTCATCGGTTCGATTCCCAGTCAGGGCACATGCCCAGGTTGAGGGACTAATTCCCAGTGCAGGGCATGCAGGAGGCGGCCAATTGATGTTCTCACTCATTGATGTTTCTATCCCTCTCTCTCTCTCCCTCTAAAGTCAATAAAGAAAAAAATTAACATATTAAAATTCCAATAAAACATGACACCAAGGGGTTTGTATTCAAAATTTTAATAATAAATTGTGCCAGTAGAAGCTTTCAAAGGCAATGAATGATACACCAATAAATAATAGTTAAATTGAGTTCCTGAGAAAGAGCCTACCACGTAAGTGTGTCCGAGCACTGTGAGTAACAACACGCAATGCTGCCAAGTTGCGGGGACACTGGCTGTCACGGCACAAGCACAGCAGATATCAGGGTTGCCATTCATACAAAATGTAAACCGGTACACAGGGATCTTTTTTATAGTTAGACATTGATAAACTTATGTGTTGTTGCCTAGATATGTACTAAATAATGAATACATTATGCTAAAACGTCAAGGAAAAATATGTGGAATAATATAATGAAATTATGATGTATTGGATTTTTAAAAAGCAAAAGAGAACTGAACTTTTTACTCAAATATAAATCACTTTAAATAGGAATCATACTAATTTAAGATAAGGAATATTTTGTATGTTTATCTATGTACTTATATATACATCTACACATCTAAGAAAATATGTATGGCTTAATTTTTTTATTCCAATGTCACTTTGAATAATCCTTGCTGTTTTACAAAGATGAGGAAAATGTATTTTTAAAACCAAGTTAACATTGATACTTCAAAGCACACCAAAAAAAAAGAAGTGAAAGAATGCCGAGGTTACTGAATTCCACCCTGGTTAGGGCGCAGCTGTGTCGGCAGAAAGCTCACCAGGCGGACCTCAGGGGCCTGGCTGGTGGCAGCCACTGGACTCCACACAGCAGCTATGCCAAGAATGAGAGAGCAGACGACTGGTGAAACAGACGGGCTTCTGTGATTAACTTCAAACTTTTTGGCATAGCTAAATTAATCCCTTTAGATGTACACAAGTTTAGTATATGACAAACGCTTAAGTTTAGCCCCCAAAGAATCCAACCATACCCAAGACACACACAGAAAGTCAATTCTCAGTTACACACCTGCATTTCTTTAACAAAACAGTAAGGGATACAATCACAGTGAAGGCACCCACACAACACATCATCGCACACTGTCTACAATGTCTCATTTATAGATACTGTATAAAGTCTTCACAGAACCCGCTGTGAATGGCAAGACAAGGTCATTTGTAACAGAAGACCCGGCTCGCGTCACTCCACACGCCAGACATCAGGAAGCACACCCCTGGGTCACCGTGCTCACACTGTCTATGATACTATAATATGCAGAAAGAAAAAAAAAGCAGCTTTTAACATATTACAATTTTGAAATGCGGAAAAATATAAAACAAAAACCACTGTGTGAATAAAATGGTATCAGTAATATCAAAACAGTGTTATCTTTTTTTTACTTATTGCACAGAGATTTCTTATCACGGTCTTCAGTTTTCATTTCTTTTCCTAAATGTGAGCTAAGTGCTGTGATAAAATACAAATGTATAAAATGACAGCAGCATGATTTGTCAGAGTTAATCCCTATAATTTAGTAAGAAAAATGACTATAAACAAAATAAGTGCTCTTTCTAAACTGTACTAAATGTTTAAAAAATTGTTTCAATGCAGTGAAGATCCTCAAAAGCCAATTCAAAGCCATGTTGACACCATCCCCTTATCAACCAGAGTCTAGAAATGAAGATATGCTAAACTTGAGTCCTTTTTTAAATAGCATTTTTGTTTTGGTTTGGTTTTTTGGTGAAGACCAGAATTTCAAGTGAAGTAATCAATGGGCTGACTAAAAACAAAGCCACCCTGGCCCTCCCCTCGGTCCTGAAGGAACCGGCCACGCCCGGGTGTCAGTGCCGAGGGTGTCTACACGTACACCGGCTGACAGCCTTCAGTCTGATCCACCAGGCTGGGGTTTTCCAAATCGGAGTCCTCAGCCTGCGCCACCTCTGCTCCTGAAGGCTTTGGGCACCGGAAAGGGTAGCCGTTGTCATCAAAGAACCTTCGGAAGGTGAATTCATAAAATGCGTGCTCAGGGTGCTTGTTGTTTGGGGAGCTGAGTGTGTCCCAGGCCTTGGTGCTGTCTTCACTAGCAGCACTCCAAGGGCTTTCTTCATCCACGGGGTCAAAGTTTGAGGTGTCCATGGGATGGCTGATCTTGGGAACATAGGGAGCTGGCTGCTTCCGAATGTCACTAGAGAAGTCAATGGCGATGAAGAACGGGTGGGCCTTCAGGTCGTCGGCCCCACCCCGCCCCAGCCGGTGGTCCGCGGCACAGCACAGCTTGGTGATGAGGTCCCGGGCCTCGGGGCTCAGCCTGACCTGGGCTGGGATGTGGAGCGTGCTCTCCCAGTTTATCACCTCAAGAGACAAGAGGATCAAAGTTTTAGTTTCTCCCAACATCTCAAAAGGCCTATATGGGCAGTTCTGGGTCAGTATGTGATGGCGTGACTGTAAAATAGTTTTGTTTTCATGGTGGCAGGAAAGTCAGGATGGACTCGGAAGCCGTAGCTGAGGACGGAGCAGCTACAGAGGGCCAATGCTCTGGTTTGGGGCGCACAGCCTGAGGCCAGGGATGCTGAAGCCAAATACAGACCAAGAGAGACTGATCTTTTTTTTTTTTATCCTCACCTGAGGATATTTTTCCATTTTTTGTACAGATAGAGTGGGAGGGAGAGAGAGAGAGAAACATCGACGTGAAGGGACACATCGAGTGGCTGCCACCCGCACGATCAACCAGGGCCGGGGAAAAACTACAACCGAGGTACATGCCCTTAGCGGGAACCGAACCCGGGTCTCTCCGGACCGCAGGCCGACGCTCTAACCTCTGAGCCAAACTGGCCAGGGCGAGACTGATCTTCTTCTATCAGAAAGATTGGTTAGCAAAATAGTTTCGTGCTTTCCACAAACACGGGAAACTGATCCTCTCTGAGTCATTTCTTTAGCTTTGGCAAGAGATTTCTGCTGACTATCATGGTTCTCACTCAACACTTGTTACGGCCTAGAGGTGGTCAGCTGGGGTCTTGTGATTTAAGAAGCAACCTCATGGAGAAGAACGAAGCTGCCCTGCCCTCTGGCCTTGGCTCAACCACCAGCGGCCACCTCCGTGCGCAGTGAGCATGTGTCACGGGGATGTGTCTCGGGAAGGGAAAAGCCCAGGGACTTCACTGCTCACACTGCAGACCAGGCGCACGTGCTGCTGCCAGGTGGCTGGCTGAACACCAGGGGGCACGTGGGTGGAGGGCTGGTCTGACGCTGAGTAGTTTTAGTAGAGCTAAAACTATAAAACTTCTGGAAGAAATCAGAGAGGAAAATCTTCATGATATTGGATTCAGCAATGATTTCTTGCATATGATAACAAAAGCACAGGAAACAAAAGAAAAATATATAAATTGGACTTTATCAAAATTTAAAACTTTAGTTCATGAAAAGACACTACTGAAAGAATGAAAGATTACTTTTGTAAAACATGCATCTTATAAGGAGTTATTACTCAGAATGTATGAAGAATTCCTACAACGGAGCAACAAAAGCAATGGCCCGATGCAGAAAGGGACATGACGCCCAGCAGTGTGCGGCGGACGCTGAGCACTGCTCCCAGCAGGGACATGCAAGTCCGAGCCACAGTGAGATGTCACTGCACTGGAACGAAGTGAAGCCACCATTGAGATGGCTACTATAGAAAAGAAAAAATGCCTGGCAGTGTTGCCCAGTGGATGGAGCATCACCCCATGGACTGAGAGGTCTGGTTCAATTCCCAGTCAGGGCATATGCCCAGGTTGCAGGCTCCATCCCCAGTAGGAGTTGTGTGGGAGGAAACCAACCAAAGTGTCTCTCACATTGATGTTTCTCTCTCTCTCTCCCCTCTTTCCATCCCTCCCTTCCATTCTACTCTCTCTAAAAATCAATGGAAAAAATATTCTCAATTGAGGATTAATCCCCCCTCACCCAAAGAGTAAAAACAAAAAGAAAGAAATTCTTCCCCATGTAACAACATGGGTGACCCTTGAACACATTATGCTCAGTGAAACAAACCGTTCAGAAAGGCAGATGCTGTGTGAGTCCAGGTATCTGAAGCACCAACAGTCAACCTCACACAGACAGAAAGTAGAAGACACGCTATAGGGGTGGGGGAGGGAATGGGGAGTTATTGTTTAATGGGTAGAGTTTCTTTTTTTCCCCCTCCTCCACCGAGAATATTTTCTATAGCTTCTTAGAGTGGAAGGGAGGAAGAAAGGGGGGGGGGGGAGAAAGAGAGAGCGAGAAGCAACAGAGAGAGAGAGAGAGAGAGAGAGAGAGAGGGAAAGGGAGAGAGAGAGACACATCAACTAGTTGCCTCCCCCATGACTGTAACCAGGTTCTGGAATTGAACCTGTAACCCAGGTACTGCTCTTGACCAGAAATTGAACCCAAGACTGTTCAGTCCTCAGACCAATGCTCTAACTGCCGAGCCACACGGGCCAATGTCAATGGGCACAATTCTGTCAGGGAGGATAAGAGTGACTAGAGATGCATGGTGGTGCCGGGTGCGCGGCCCTGCGAGTGTGCCCCCTGTCCCGACCACACCCGGCCCTGCGAGTGTGCCCCCTGTCCCGACCGCACCCGGCCCTGCGAGTGTGCCCCCTGTCCCGACCGCACCCGGCCCTGCGAGTGTGCCCCCTGTCCCGACCGCACCCGGCCCTGCGAGTGTGCCCCCTGTCCCGACCGCACCCGGCCCTGCGAGTGTGCCCCCTGTCCCGACCGCACCCGGCCCTGCGAGTGTGCCCCCTGTCCCGACCGCACCCGGCCCTGCGAGTGTGCTCCCTGGACTGGACTGCACGCTTAAAAGTAGTTAGAATGGTAAGTTTTATCACAATAGAAATTGAGTTATGATCATGCAGGCAAATCAGTGAGTGGTTTAGCTATCCAATGAGAATACAGTAATGCCAACTTCCAATTTTATTGCTACTAGAGTGAAACAAAGCCTTAATTTAGGGTTCTTCTAACTAAGACTTTTTTTTTTTTGGTGGTACGTGCCCCTAGTGGGAACCGAACCCAGGACTCTCTGGTCCGCAGGTCGACGCTCAACCACTGAGCCAAACTGGCCAGGGCTAACTAAGAGACTATTACCTTAGGGTCTACCATGACCTCCAGGGCATATAGATTCTTCCTAGAATTGTTAGTAAATATGTGTCAGTGGGTAAGGCGCTGTCTGAGAAATTACCAAGATTTCAACAGATTCTCAATTCAGTCTTTCTTAAGTAATCAAATCATTTATCTCAGAGAGTGAATGGCCATCATCTAAAACTATTTATTTATCTCAAGTGACTATTAGAAATTCACTTGCACACCTAGCCTAACCTCACAGCTGATAATTTGCAAAAAGTAATGATATAACAATCAAATAGACAAACTTCTTTAGAGATCATTGATATTTTTATTTATTTTTTAATGCTCACCCGAGGATATTTTTCCATTTATAATCAGAAAGAGTGGGAGGGAGGGAGGGAGAGGGAGAGAGAGAAACATTGATGTGAGAGAGACAGACTGGTTGCCTCCGAAACAACCCGACCAGGGCCAAAGACAAACTGCAACCGAGGTACATGCCCACTGAGTCGCTCCAACTGCTGAGCCACACCTGTCAGGGCTAGAGACCATTTATCGAGTTTCCTGCTGGGGCACCGTGGGCACGGTGGGCACCATGGGCACAGTGCTGCAGAGAGCAGACCTGACCGTGCCTGACCATTCATGCTTGTTCTCACCTGGAGACATCAGGATGGCAAGTGACCAATGGTTCAAGTCAAGTTTCAGACGCACATATACTGTATTTCACAACTCCGGTCTAGCCCTGGCCGGGTGGCTCCGCCGGTTGAGGGTTTGATTCCCAGTCGGGGCACACACCTAGGTTTCGTATTTGATCCCTGGTTGGGGTGTATATGGTGGGAGTTGAGCAACCGATTGATGTTTCTTTCTCTCTCTCTCTCTTGCTTCCTCTCTCTCTCAAATCAGTAAACATATCCTCAGGAGAAGATTAAAAAAAATAAATAAATAAAAAATCTCAGGTCTAACTCTGGGGCTTTACTTAGTAAAATAAACATTTTCAAAATAGGTAATAAGAGTAATACTTTAAAAATTGCCTACAGTGAGCCCCTGCCCCACTCGGAAGAGCAGGTCGGAAAACTGTTCGCAGCCGGCAGGTGCACCCCCTTACCTTCAGCTGGGTCTCCGTGGGCGTGGGCGCCAGGAAGGGGGGCTGCCCCACCAGCATCTCGAAGAGAATCACGCCGACGCTCCACCAGTCACAGAGCTGAGTGTACCCTGGAAGGCAAGGCGCGGTCAGTGCCAGCCAGCAGTCTTCCCAGAGAGGGCTCCTCGGGGACGCCCCTCCGCCCGGGCACGCGGCCGGGCAGCCACCCACACAAGACGGCTCCGGCACGTGCGGCTCCGGGAAGGGCTGGGAAGGGCACGTGCTGGGGAGGAGGACGGGTCACTTGTCCTTTTCCTTATTTTCAGTCACTGGTCTGTGATAAACACAGGATGCTTTTGTACGAAGAAAAGACCTTAATTAAAAAAGATTACTGTTGCCCTGGCTGAGTAGCTCGGTTGGTTAGAGCGACATCCTGATACACCAAGATGGTGGGTTGGATCCCCAGTCAGGGCACAGACAGGAAGCAGCCCGTGAATGCAAGAGCAAGTGGAACAGCGCACACCAGTGGCTCTCTCTCCAATCCAGGTGTGTCCAGCATGAACCTTCCTGGCCAGGCTTTCCCAAGAGGTTTGGAGGGGTTAAAGAATGCGGAGGGGAAAGGCGTCACTTTGGCAAAGACAACAACTGTCACTGCAGACACCACCTCTGTGCAAGGCACCATCCAGCCAGACTCTCACCACGCTGCCAAGACAAGGCCAAGGCAGGACGCGCCGAGGCCGTGGGAGCCAGCCCCACGGGGGCGCAGAACAGGCTGCCCTCCCTCCACTCCTCCCTGCCCATCTGGCACTGGGGGCTGCAGAGTGACCCCACCTTGGTTCCTAGACAGTGTCCATGCTGGACACTGGAGAGGGGTTGGGGGGAGACAGGATGTCGTCCCCACAGCCCAGCACCTCCCTCCTACTGAGACCGTGATTGGGCAACAATGTGGCTCTGAGTGGTCACCACTGCCTCGGTCACCACAGCTAACAAAGGAACAGCTGGGACTGAGTCTGGCTGGCTGCAGAGACTTGAAGCAGCACGTGTGAAAAGACAGACCGCCGACCCTGGATTCACGGGGTGGACTCAGGATGATAAGCCACTGACGATTGGACGATTCCTTTGGTGGTCAGTCAGATGTCACGTCTGATGGAACAGAGTCCATCCAGGACCACTTCTGCCGAGCACTTGTGGTGTTATGCACACTACTGTCCCCAAAGCTGACCTTCAAGATGCTTTGGTACTGGAGGAAAATAATATTTGTATTCTGTCGTACTCGATAACCAGCTCGGAACTTGAGCAGGAAGCTTTGGCACATATATACAACAGAGTATTACTTGGCCATAAAAAAGAACGAAACGGTATGCTGTGCAACAGCACGGGTGAATCTGGAGAGTATTATGCTGAGTGAAATTCATCAGTCAGAGAAAGTCCAGTAACATGATTTCACTTATACGTGGAGTCTACTGAACAATATAAACGAGCAAATAAAAGAGAACAGACTCCCAGGTACCGAGAACAGACTGAGGCTGCAGCGGGGAGGAAGGATGGGGGACTGGGTCCAAAGATGACGAGACTGAGAGGTACAGCCTAGCAGACAGTCGTGAGGATGCCAAGCACAGTGCAGGGAAGACAGTCCGCGACATCGCAACTACTCTGCACAGTGCGGCGGTGGGGGGGCACTTGAAATCAGGGGGAACCACTTCCTAAAGTGTATGATTGTCTGACTACTATGCTGTACACCTGAACCTAATACAAAATAATACTGAATGCAAACTGTAATTGGAAAAAATAAAAATTAAAAAAGGAGCCACAGCTAGAGCCTGGACACTGACGTGGCAGACAGAGCGGTTCCTGCCCTCCCCCCTCCCCCCTCCCCCCTCCCCCCACTCCCCAGCTGCAGTGAGCCTCCTGGGCTCCAGGGGGAGAGCTCATGCCCACCTCTCACGTCCCAGTGGAAGGGGCAGAGACAGACTAAAGGTGCCAGTCTGCTGCCACCCTGGGAGCGAGGGCAGGTCCACTCGGAGAGACACGCACTCCTGTGGGCTGTCCCAGTGGGGACGGTCAGGGTCTCAGCAAGCAGGAGGCTCCCTGAGGTCCTCTGGCTCCACAGCTCTGGAGCAAGATGGGCAGGTGTGTGGGACGCCCGAGGCGAGTGCCCGCAGCACCCACCTTTTCGGAGGAGCACTTCCGGTGCAATGTAATTTGGGGTCCCAACCAGGGAGTGTGCCAGACACCTCTGATGCTGCTTCCTGGCTCTCTGCTCCAGGGTCTTCAGCCTGTCTCCACAACGACAATTAGACATGTCGTCCCAGAGGTCACCAGGCTCCATGCTGTCCTGTCTGATGTGGCTCCCTTTTTCACCAGGAATCGGGGCAGTGAAAAAAAGAACACAAAACAAAGTAAGTTTTCAGTATTCAACAAACCCCTAGCTTTAAACTGGAGAACAATTCAATTCAGCTCCTGACACACCAAGAGAAAGACCCTGCCCAGCTGCTAGCAGGGCAGCCTGACATCTGGGTCTGAGGCTGGCCAGGTGAACAGCGCATGGCCCGGGGGGGACCGGCGGTGCCGTGGGGACGGGTGGGGGGGGCAGCCGTGCCGTGGGAACGGGCGGGGGGGGGGGACGGCCGTGCCCTGGGGACCAGCTGCATTGAGGCTCCGATAACCCAGGGAACCTCCCAAGACGTGCTTTAAGATGAGCATGGAAACACATACGGAGATTTTTAGATGCAGTTTAAAAAAACGAGAATAAATTAAATGATTTAGGATTAGATTTTTTTTTTTAATCCTCACCAGAGGACATCCTTCCATATTTTGTTCAGACAGAGTGGGAGGGAGAGAAAGGGAGAGAGAGAGAAACATCGACGTGAAAGGGACACATCGAGTGGCTGCCACCCACACGACCAACCAGGGCCGGGGACAAACTGCAACTGAGGTACATTCCCTTAGCAGGAACCGAACCAGTGTCTCTCTGGACCGCAGGCCGACGCTCTAACTGCTGAGCCAAACCGGCCAGGGCAATTTAGGATTAGATTTACGTTAAGATAAAAAATACAGCCTGAGCTCTGGCCGGTTTGGCTCAGCAGTTAGAGCGTCGGCCCATGGACCAATGAGTCTCGGGTTCTATTCCAGTCAAGGGCACGTACCTTGGTTTTGGTTTCTCCCCAGCCCTGATTGGATCGTGTGACACGGAGACAACCAGTCGATGAGTGGCTCTATCCCATTGATGTTTCTTTCTCTCCCTCCCTCCCACTCTATCTGATGATAAATAAAATAATATCCTCAGGTGAAGAATAAAAAAACAGAAGCCTCAACTATGGTACTAAAATAACTACTTCAAGAATCTGAGCCACGCCCTGGCTGGTTTGGCTCAGTAGTTAGAGTATCGGCCCAAGGACCGAAGGGTCTTGGGTTCAATTCTGGTCAAGCGCACATGCCTAGGTTGCAGGTTCAATCCCAGCCCTGATCGGGGTTGTACAGGAGGTAAACCATAGATGGCATCTCTCCCTCTTTCCACTCCAAACAGCAGAACAACAGGAGCTGGAGTTGACTGTGATCATACCTATAACCACACCCACACCTACAGGTGCTGCAGATACTGCAGGACAGTTAGGTAAGCGGGGCTAGGACTCCTCAGGAGGCTGTGAGGCTTATTTTTTCTTTTCTTTTTGTATTTTATTTCTCACCTGAGGATATTTCTTTACTTATTATCAGATAGAGAGGGAGGGAGGGAGGGAAACACCGATGTGATAGAGCCACATTGACTGGTTGCCTCCCGCACGACCCAACCAGGGCCAGGGACAAACTGCAACCAAGGTACATGCCCTCAACTGGAATCAAACCCAAGACTCATTGGTCTGCGGGCTGACACCCTAACTACCGAGCCACACCGGCCAGGGTGAGGCTTACTTTTTACGACTCATTTCAGTAGGGAAGAGTGATGGCCCTCACAAAGGACCCCTGACACCTCGGTCCACTGCCCTAAAATATCACTGTAAGCTCAAATCCACTCATACATATCGTACTGCTTCTTTAGGGAGAAAGATGTCACACCAAATCATAAAATAATGGAGTGACAGATACTTTCACAATAATTAGGAGCTACCAGGGTGGGAAACAGTTGCCTTCAGATGGCTCAGTTGTGTGCAGACATGTACAGCAGGTGTGGTGTGCCTGAGACAATACCTTTCTGGTAGTACTTGGAGTTGTGAGTCCACCTGAATCCAGTGCAGAGACCAAAATCTGTCAGTTTGATGTGACCATCAAGATCTATCAAAATGTTGTCTGGCTTGATGTCTCGGTGGATAAAGCCCATCTTGTGGACACTCTCGATGGCCAGAGTCAACTCTGCAATGTAGAAGCGGGCCAGGTGTTCAGGAAAGACCTCCATCCGGATGAGCAGGCTCATCATGTCTCCCCCTGGGATGTAGTCCATCACAAAGTACAGGCTGTCCTTGTCTTGGAAGGAGTAGTAGAGTTTGACCACCCACTCATTGTCCGCCTCAGCCAGGATGTCCCTCTCAGCCTTGACGTGGGCCACCTGATTCCGGTTCAGGACATCCTTCTTCCTCAGGGTCTTCATCGCGTACAGAGCGTGAGTGTCCACCTTGCACGCCAGGCACACTTCCCCAAAGGCACCGATCCCCAGGGTTTTGATTTTCACAAACATGGACTTGTCCATCTTAGCCCTCTTCAGCCTGTTGTAGTTGGACTCCTTCTGGTAGAGGATCTTCCTCATCTGCTCCTGCTCAGCCTCACAGAGTCCGGCCTGCAAAGCAGGAAAACAAGGGTCACATCAGAGGAGCCCCAGCACGAGATGGTTGGCTGGAGATACCCTGGAACTGAGAGGACCCTGACTTGATCTATAAGAATTAGATAGGAGAATAGGTCCAATATATTCCAAGCAAGAGAACAATCTGTTTTGTTCTTTATATTCATATACAGACACAAATCCAGAATCCAAAGAGAATAATAGAAAAGAAGTCTCTCTCTGGGTGACTTCAGGCCCTTAAAAACTAAAGGAAACTTCTATGAACAAATTCTGTGGAAAGAGGACCACAAAATTCCTGGAACTCTAAGAGCAACCTCATTTTTTAGTAGCTTAGGGAAAATGAGAAAACAGAAAAGAAAAAGTCAATGAAAATGGAAGAGCAGAAAGTAAGTGCACACATCTTATTTTTATAATTTAAAATTATTGGTTTGTGTAATTTAAATTTGCTGTAAGACTTAATTTAAATAATTTCATTAATTACCTTCTCTAGCAGTTTTGTGTCAAGTAAGTTCTCTTTAAAACACTACTTGTTGCCGGCTGGTGTGGCTCAGTGGACTGAGTGTCCTCCCATGGACTGAGAGGTCCTGGTTCGATTCCCAGTCAGGGCACATGCCCAGGTTTTGGGCCCGATCCCCAGTGGGGGACGTGCAAGAGGCAGCCCATTGATGTCTCTGTCTCTCTCTCTCTCTCTCTCCCTGAAAAAACAGAAAACAAAAAACAAAAAACACCACTACTTATTAATTATGGACTTAAAGGAAGGATAAATGAATCCCTACTTTCTTCATAAATCCCACAATTTCAATTCATAAAACCTCACACTTTGTTTCTACTCTTCCCAAGTGTTTTGTTACTAGTTAGTAAAACATAATGAATTCTGCTAATGAATAAAAACACATAAAAGCCATTTGGTAATTTCCCATTGGCACCTGGTGTACAGCCACAGATGACCCCTCCGCCAAGGGAAAGGGAAGGGAGGCTGGGAAACCTGTGGTCTCTCCAGGGCCTCCCCTCCTACCCAGACCAGGCAGGGAGATGACTGGTTGGTGCCAACAGCGCAGGAAACATAAAGCAAAGAAACCCTCCTGCAACTCCCGTTCAGGGCTTAGGAAGGCTGAGAAGAGATTACTCTGGCCATCTCCTGCTCCAGCTGCAGCCTGCGGTTGACCTTTTGCTGGTAGGTCTTGATGACATTTTCCACATGCTGCTCCATGAAGAACTTGAATGCGTAGGGCGAGTAGCTCTTGATTCGAGACTCTCTTCTCTCCTCATCGGGGCTGTTTTTGCGAACCGGGACTGGAGACGTCTGGATCAGTTTCTTATCCTTCCCAATTCGGTCTGCCTTGACGCCTTTGAGACCCCTGTCGGGGGGCTCAGAGGGCGTGCCCCGCAGCCGCTGCTCTACCCCCACACACAGGCAGTCCACATCCACCTGCTCGGCTGCACCCCGCAGCAGGAGGTGCTTGGGGTAGGGCGGGGGTGGGCACCTCACGTCCACGTCCCGCGGGTAGGGCCCTGCGCCCACCAAGGGCGGGGGCTGCTCCTCCGCAGAGTCCGGCCCGTCTGCAGGGGTGGGCGCGGGCAGCCAGGCGGGATGGGAGGGCCCCACCGCCGTCTGCGGCTCAGGCCGGAGCACACGCACGCTCTTCACCGGGTGCAAGATGTGTGCCGCTGTCACCGCTGTGATGGTGTTGGGGGAAGCCACCGCCACGGGCTGCTGGTGGCCATTGAAAGAGCTGCTTCTGCTGGGGACAGAGCCCTCGGGCCGAAACGCCACCTGCTTCTGTAGAGAGTCGCGCCGGGCTAGGGTGGGCACCTGCCACGGCTGGACAGGGGCGCTGCCGGCCTCGTACAGATCCATGTTGAGGCTGCTCCTGGAGGGGGCCAACAGACTCTGTGGGGGTACCATCACGTGCACCTGTGGGGCCTGTTTGTGGTGTGGGTGCGGCACGTACAGACCCGCTGTGGCCCCCACTGCTTGGAAAGTGTGCCCGGCCCCTGGCTGCCCAGCCGGGCCCTTGGCACCCAGATTGGCATACCCCGTGGTGTCCGGAGGCCCCTTGTTCTGGAAGGAGGGGCTGCGCTGGACTCCGTAGCCCAGGGGCTCCCCGGGTACCAGCAGGTGTGGCCTGTAGTGTGGGCCCTGCATTGGGAGGCCCTGGCCCGCAGGCCCAGCCACGGGGAAGTTCATCCCGGCAGCCTCCATACTTGCAGAGTAGCCCTTGGGCTGGTGCTGGGGGCCGCCAGGTGCGCTGTGGGGCCCGACGCTGGCGAAGAGGAAGTCCGCGTACTGCCGGGGCACCTCCTCCACCGCGCCGCTGCCTTCGTAGGCCGCGCTCAGCGGGTGGTAGGGGGGGAAGGGGTCTCCTACGCCTTCAAAGCTTGGCCTCCGTGGCACAGGGCTGGGGGCCACGCCCTTTCCTGCAGAGGGAAGAACAGAGTGGCATCAGAGAAGGCTGCCCATCGGGCTCTGGCATTTTCAGGCTCTTCCATGACCGAAGGCACCAGAGCAGAGGAGACTCTGCTGCGCAGTCCCGCGGCCTCGAAGCCCAAAGGTCTGCCCTGCTGGGGAGCCTCCCTGGAGCCCTAGCACAGGCAGGCCCTCCACAGCGCCACCAGGGGCAGCAGGCACCGCCACCACTGCTGGGCCCGCACCCTGAGCATGCACAAAGGGGGCCGAAGGAACCCCCAGGGGCATGGCCCCGCGGACCCCTGGGAGCTGTGCTCTGAGACAAGACGGGAAAAGCTAAGCACCCTGACGGACAGCTGGCCCAGCACTGTGTAAGGAGACTCCTTCTGTCAAGAAAAAATCAAGAGTTTGTGTCCTCTTAGCACAGTGGTTCTCAACCTTCCTAATGCCACGACCCTTTAATACAGTTCCTCATATTGTAGTGACCCCAACCATAAAATTATTTTCGTTGCTACTTAATAACTGTAATTTTGCTACTGATATGAATCACCATCACAAATGTTTTCCAATGGTCTTAGGCGACCCCTGTGAAAGGGCTGTTCGACCCCCAAGGGGGTCGCGCTGCAGGTTGAGAACCGCTGTCCTAAGAGCAAAGGCACAGCTTACAAAGCCTGTATAATTCTCACTCGGCAATGAAGTGGGTTCATCCCAGGCCCACTCCTTTGCTGCGCATCACGAGTCCTAGCACACTCGGGCCTCGGGCTGCAGAGCAGGCCCCACCTGCGGCGCCCTGGAGGGCACTGGACAGCCAGCAGTGCTGCCGCTGGAGCGCCCGCCAGCACCACCCCTTCGCCACTGGGCAGCCGCTCCCGCAGCATGGGAAGTGGCATGTTTTACAGTCGCTGGATTTTGAAAGACCCCGTCCACAGGCTTAAGAGAAATTGCAAAGAACATTTTTAGGTTCACTCTGCCTAATTTTAATAGCCAGTGAATTTTTAAATCTTTCATTAAAAACAAAAAAACAAGAATTCCTCCTGTAGGAAGTACCACAGGTTATTTCAGATGGAGGGCACCCAGGCAGGTCCCATGGTCTGCAGCTGTGCCCCCACCCCTGCCAGAGTGCCAGAGCAGGACAGGCTCGGCTCAGCCACCACACGCACGTGTGCCCAGAGGCCATCTTCTGACCAGGGACCTCCCTTATGTGCTTCTAGGGTACAAGCCACCTCCTCTCACCGGCCGCAGGTCTCGCTCACCCGGGGAGGTCTGCTTGATGACGCGCACGATCTGCTCCTTCCTGGGGTCCAGGTAGCCCATCTTGCTGATGTAGTCCAGGGCAGCCTCGATGCTCCTGCTGCCCGTCTGCTTCAGTGCCCGGCCCGCCATCTCCTGCAGAAGCACAGGGCACCTGAGCACCAGGGTGTCTGTCCCTGCCCGCTCCTCACTGCTGTGACCCTGGCCTCCTGGGACTGGGGGGGGCGGGGGGGCACCGCAGACAAGTCTTGGAATGGGCACAGCTGGTCACATGTCCGCAGGTGCCTGATGATGAGGGTCTAAGCTGCACTGAACTGCAGGCTGTTCAGCATGTGTCAAGACATACAGGAATTTTGATAGTGGTCGTGAAAGAATCTTAAATGCTGTTTTTCCTCAGAAAACATTGGGGCTGGGGATAACCCTAAACTTAGAACAGTGTACTGTGGAGAATGGCGGGAGCCAGAGAAACGTGCTGGGCCCAGCTCACTCCCAGCTGACTCGGACAGAGGCAACTGCAATGTTGAAGTCAGGATCAGGTGATCTGCCCTAGAGGACGGGGGTTTCCAAACAGTCACTTGTAAAAGCCCTCCTGGTGCCTGCTGCTTGCAGGGCCCTGTGCACCCACAGCAGCCGTGGGCTCGCGCTCAGGGCCCTGGACCAGCGGGAGAAGGAAAGAACAGGCTAAAGGAGCCCACGGACCCCTGGGTGGCACAGACAGGTCCCTCAGAATTGCTCTGGGATGACTACAAGACAGACACTGGCAGCCACTACAGGGAGATGCAGGTGGAGTGGATGAGGGTCAGAGGAATCAGATCCTTCCTGCCAAGGGAGTGGGCACCAGAGGCTGCTTGTGGGAGAGATGGCTCTCCCAGGACAGATAATCTGGGCAGATGGGGAGCCCAGGAGAGAAAAGGTATTCTTGGCAGGTGGAACAGTAAGAGTGGAGGCCTAGTGGGAAGGCAGCTGGAGGCCTGAGGAGGCAGCAGAAAGGGACGGTCTGGGAAGCTGGCCCAGAGTCTGCCCCATCTGAAGTAGTGGCAGAAACTTCCCAAGAGGAACGCAGGTCAGTGAGGAGAACGATCAAGCAGGCTGGAGGAGACAGGAGGGCACAGGGCAGGGAGCGCTGCAGAACTGTGGGCCAAGAGGGACGACCACAGAGGCCAGCCTGCTGGGGGCAGGGGCGGAGCAGGCAGAAGCAGCAGAAGGGGACTCGCTGTTCTGACAGTCAAGGGGTGGCAAACAGAGAGGAGGAAAATGAAATCTGGGAGGGGGGTGATGACAGGAGATGAGAAGTTCTGAGGGCAAAGGCTGGGAGAGCGCTCCTGGAAGTCAGACAGGGAAAAGGGAGAGTGAGGATGTGCAGGGACCCCAGCACCCCGAGACAGGTCAGGGCTGTCTTACTGCAGAAAGAGAGTGGCTGTGTTCGCAAAAGGCCACCCAGGAGACAGCCGCCATCCCAGATGCTCCCTCCTTCAGGCTGACCAGGCCCACTGTGCTCCGCTGCCCCAGGACAGGCATCACGAGCCCTGACCTCTGTCAGACCGTCTCTCCCTTGAGGACTGGAGAAGCTGGCAGGGCTGGAAACTCCCTTGTCCTTTATGGCTGTATCCACCCACCTACCAGACTAGAACAACTTAAGTGTTTTATAGTCATTTGACTATATCACATTAAAATCAAATTTGCCCTTCTTGGCAACACCCCAGATGAGCGGTAGGACAAAACACGGAGGCTGTACTTGGCTGTAACGCATGCCTCTATTCTCAGCGGAGCGAGCGTGCGACACCGCAAGGTGACGGGGCAGAGAGGGGCCGTGGAGGGGCCAGGAACGACATCCTGACATCCAAGGCCTGGAGAGGCGATGCCAGGGAGGAGGAACTCGAGGCGACAGTTTACAGACTGGGAGATGGTGTAAGGACAGAAAGGGCACGTGTCGGAATGCTGAATGAGCGGCTGAGGGGGCAGAGTTCAAAGTGGATCCTTCAGTGCCTCCCCGCCTGCAAGGGTGGCAGACGGGCTCCACCCCGCCCACCTCTGTTCTGCAAGGAGGTCCTCTCTGCGGAGGTCTCCACAGCTTGGAGAAAGAAGTTATCAGGTCACCCTGAGCTTCTGGAGCTGTTTAACAGTGTGCCATTAGGAAAGACCTTCCCACAGCAGGAACTGTCCAACCTGCTTCGTCTGCAGCGTGGCCACCAGCTCCTGTCTCTGTCAGGGCGAACTACAGGCTTATTCATTGCTCCAGAACCTGCCCCGTGCTGAGGGACTGACGAAGTTAAGTGTGCACATATTCCAATCTCACCTTGTTTACTGGGCACCAAAAGTTAATTGTGTACAAATCTAGGAACTTAACCAAGAAAATCAACACAAGGAGACCACAAAGAATGACTAATGTTCACAGGAACATTTCAAGTCATAAAACCCCTTGAATAAGCCAGCTCGTGTATCAGTTAACACCTTGGAGTAACCAGAGTCGGCGGGTCCACCTGTCTGTCTGCCCTGCACTGAGCCAACATAGCTTCTATAAGCACTGTGCGGAGAGGAGACTGTACCATGTACACAGCTTTGCTGTCAAGCCATGGGACACACAGAACCGTGCCCAGACCCACCAGGAACATGCAGCCTTGCCTTACATTCAGCTCCCCGTCTGCCGTGACTGTTCACGGCCCCAGCAAGACGTCAGTGAGCCCTGCACCCACCCAGAAGCACAGCCTGCTCCCTGTGGGTGGCTGAGCGACACGCAGGCCTGTGGTGCAGTACTCAAACGCAGAGCCAGCAGGCTGGTGCGTTGCTGAGAAGTGACTTCAAACCTGCGTGGAGGAGAGCCGCAGAGTGGGGGCGCAGCCAGCACCTCGGGCATCCCCCTGCGCTGTCGGAGAGCCAAGCACGGCGGCTGGTGAGAGAAGGCCTCACCAAGGCCAGTTGCCCCTCCTGGCACAGGTCAGGGAGTATGGTGGGGGCACCTCAGCGAGATTCCCTCTTGACCAGTGACCAGCTCTCCAACTGTCACAGGTCCCAAAAGGCCCCCAAAGACCGGCCCCCGCCAGCCTGTGGCCTGCAGAGCAGGAACCGCCGGGCAGCGAGGGCTGGCAGCTGGCTTCGGCTTCGCTGTCCCGGGCTCCGGAGGTGCCCGGCACAGTGCGCCTGCCTTCCCTCTCCTGGCCTGTCACCCTCCGAGGGGCAAAGCCTCGGCACACCCCGTCATGCTCATACAATTTATGACTCATGACTCACAGGAAGACAGAAGCTGGGTTCACACGCTCCATACAGCTCGGCTGTCTTCCAGCATTAACACAGAACCGAGCGCAAATTAAATTCAGTGAGAAGTTATGATGTACGAAGAAAAGAATTTCCCCTGGAGATCCTCTCCCACCCCTTCCTGGTAGGAAAGCATTTTCCGAATGTTAGCAAAGTTATATCCCCACACTGTAATTCAGTTATGGCTGAAAAACGAGAAGTGAACAACTCTGGCCTTGTTGGGTCCATGTGGGCCTCCGCATGCCTGCCCACCCGCCTCGCGGTCTTTTTCACACACACCAGCAGTTCAGGCTCCAAATCCCAGTGGAGGAAGAGTCCCCACCCAGGGCTGGCCAAAGAAGCTGAGACCTGGTGGCCACCTGAGCACTGCTGTCCTGGGGGGGAACAGTTCCAGCATCTTCTGAGGACCCCAGACACTGTACCCTAAAATAAACAAGCACATCCTCAGCTTGTCAAGGAAAAAGAAGATAGCATAGCCAGCCTTTAAATTGAGTGGTATTCCTCTCCTTCACCTTAAAAAGAAATCTCACCCAAAACTACATTTCTCGAGGACCGAGATGAAGCCTACCGAGCCAGAAGCAGGGGATTTCTGAAGTGTGTGCATGGTCACAGCCCGAGAGGAAGCGCCCGGTGACACGGGGAGCAGAGCCCACAGCTCTGGCAGGCTCGCTGCTGCACTTGCTCCCTGGCCAAGGCTCCCAGTGCCTTGGGGCACGGTGGGACAGTGTCTCGGCAAAACACGGACCTTGGGCACAACGTGTGGGAGCCTCGGGCCAGCTGGGCCCCCCAGCGCTCCACTCTCCGCATTCTGGGTACTTCCCAGTGACAATGCGGAAGTCCACTGGGCTTCTTAAGGCTTCTCGTTTTGTATGTGCTCAAACAATGGTGGAAAAATGCAGTGAAGAACAAAGAAGTTGCCTTTGAATGGCCAACGTGTGTGCAGAAGGAAGTGAGTCACTGCCTCAGGGATGTGCTGCTCCAGAGACTCCCACCCAGGGTGGCCTCGTACACGCCTGCTGGTGAAGCCACAGCACCAACACTGAGACTGTCACACAGCAAGGGGCAGGGGCAGGGTGTTTGTGAGCACTTGTGTGGGAAACAAAACATTGGGTTTTGTTTTTTGTTTTTATCCTCGCCCGAGGACGTTTTGCATTTATCCTCAGATAGAGTGGGAGGGAGAGAGAGAGAAAAACATCGACGTGAAAGGGACACATGGAGTGGTTGCCACCCGCACGACCCCAACTGGGGCTGGGGACAAATGCAACCAAGGCACGTGCCCTCAGCGGGAACCGAACCCGGACTTCTCTGGTCCATTGGCCAATGCTCTAACCAATGAGACAAACCGGCCAGGGCACAAAATATTTTTAAAGTAACTTATACATATGGAGTTAAGAACAAATTTGGCCTCAAATTAAACAAACATAAAAATTTTTTAACCTTGCCAATGATCAAAGAAACACTAATAAAAGCATTTTATAACAGTTGTTAGCACCAAAATAAAATAAATAATTTAAAGAGAAGTGGGCTGGGCCCTGCTGGTGTGGCTCAGTGGATTGAGCACTGTCCCACGGACTGAGAGGTCCCAGTTTGATTCCCCATCAGAGCACATGCCCGGGCTGTGGGCTCCATCCCCACTAGGGGTTGAGCAGGAGGCAGCCAATTGATGTATCGCTCTCACATTGATGTTTCTCTCTCTGTCTCTCCCCCTTCCCTCCCCTCCTTCCACTCTTTCTAAAACTCAATGGAAAAAATATCCTCAGGGGAGGATTTTTTAAAAAAAGTAAGACAATAAGAATACTGGCACATGGCAAATTCCCAAAATGATAAAACTGGTTATATTATCTTGTTACATAATTGTGGGCAGATAAAAATTCTCCACATTG